CTGTGTCTGTGTGTGTGTGTGTGTGTGTGTGTGTGTGTGTGTGTGGACATTTCTGCAAGCAGTTACTGGCTGAACGAAATCCTAACCTAACATACAGCATAAAAGAAAGAAATTTAAATGTAAAACAAAATGACAAGTACACACACTCATTCTGACTAAATGACACTAAATACATTCATTTGGATTTTACTTACATAGATATTACACATGCAAAATTTTAATTTGATAAGGTGTGTGTGTGTGTGTGTAACTCACACGTTCATGTGCAGCCCCTTGCATTTTCTCTTTCCCTCCATCACCTCACTATGAAGGTGTGGACTGCTCCAGATAAGATAAGAGCCATGCCGACCAAATCACTCGGGCTTTGCGGACAGGGGAAGATTGGACAGGTGAGGTGGCAGCGCCAACAGGAAATGGCCCCCTTTGAAACAGGAAAAGGACGTGAAGAGTGTTTGTCAAAGGATACTGAGAGGATTGTTACATCAACTAAAGGAGCTTCTGTGTGTTTAGGATGGCGTGTGTGTACTTGTTTCACTACTTGTAAAGGGCAGATTTCTGGAAATGGCCTTGTGAATACAGTCTTTACAATAAAAGGACTAACTAATGTCTTATTTCACAACTAAAATGCAAAAAGTATAGGGTTGCATTGCAAACACACCTCAAGACCCCAAAAATATGTTGTTCACTGACCATCTGATCCCTTTTGCATGGTGGTACTGTATATTTCACATTGTTCTGGAGTTATGCCTGTTAAATGATCTGTACGTATTACTTTTGACCGAATTCTACATTCAGAAAGTCACACATTTCTGCCACATTAAACCTGGTCAATTAGGGTTTTTGGGAGTTTTACCTGAATAAGCAGCAAACCAAACCAGACTTTACTCCGTTAGTCAAAAGTGTGGCTAAACAAAACTGTGTCACAATATAGTATGAACAGAAAAAGACCTGGATACCCACTGTGAGTGACCTTCACCCTAGTGTCTATTTTATTCTTTAATAATAAAGAACAAAAATAGCCAGGATCTTAATGAGACAGGCTTTAATTTCCATTCGTCTGGCCATATAGTGATTCAGAATAAAATCACAGCCGTTGTTTAATCTTGGAGGTCAAACTTTTGCTGGTTAGCATGGGCAAGTAAGCATCTAACCTGGTTAGCTCCTGCTAAACATGTCAGGTTACACAAAAAGCATGTTTCTCCATGACCATTAAAAAGTAGCCATTCAGATATTAAAAAAGGCATGCAAAATATGGTTCATATTACAGATAACATATATATTATCTCATTTGACCTATACTCACATTACATTTTACACATATAATTTTACCTACAC